ACAGCTGCTGTGTGGAAGAGTTTCTGCAGTGAAAGTTCTTTAATAAAAAGAACAAAATCGGTGCCGTTACACTTGGAAGCTTTAAAGAGAACATAGGAGAACATGTGATTACAGATCACATAGGAAAACTATGAAGAAAAAGAAAAAAATGAAGGTTAATTTAAAAAATAACAGCAATTATTATAACAACTAAATTTATAACAATTCTAGGCAAAAGTACTATACCCTCCAGATCCTAATAAGCCATGTAAAAAATATCCACACAGGCCATAGCCGGTTTGGCTCAGTGGAGAGAGTTGTTAGCCTGTGGATTGAAGGGTCCCAGGTTCAATTTCGGTCAAGGGCACATGCTTGGGTTGTGTAGGGGGGCGAGTAGGAGGCAGCGATCAATCGATGATTCTCTCTCATCATTGATGTTTCTTTCTCTCCCTCTCCCTTCCTCTCTGAAATCAATTTTAAAAAAAGATTTAAACAAAAATTCCCACAAATCGCAAATCCCTCACTGTCTAATTAATCATGCTTTTCTTGGTTCAGGCCAATATGATGGAACTGGTGATAGCTGAGGCTTACCAAGTTCCATCTGGAACTTCCCATTAACCTGTTAACCGGAGAGTTCCCTTTTTAATGATGCAACCTGTAACAGGCGCGTACTCTTTCACTAGGACATGTCTACATCACGCCCAGAGGACATAATTTCATATTTTTTTATACTTAATGAAGATAAATGAAATATATATATATATATATATATATATCATTTATTTATATATATAAAGCACAAAAGAAAATACAAAATTACCACAAAAAATAAAAATAGAAAAGAATACCGACAAAAAAAAAAATGGACACGTCGAATTAAAAAATTATAAATTTTACAAACAATGATAAAGATTACAAAAAATAGCCAAAACCGGGTTGGCTCAGTGGATAGAGCATCGGCCTTCAGACCTAAAGGTTTGGGGTTCGATTCCGGTCAAGGGCATGTACCTTGGTTGCTGGCACATCCCCAGTGGGGGGTGTGCAAGAGGCAGCTGATCGATGTTTCTTTCTCATCTCATCGATATTTCTAACTCTCTATCCCTCCCCTTTCCTTCCTCTCTGTAAAAAATCAATAAAATATTTTAAAAAACAAAAAAAGATTACAAAAAATATACACCGTCCCTCTCAGGGCGCAACATATATTTCAAGGACGTATTCATACATCCTACCCATTCCCGATATTGTTTACGTTTGACGTATTTATAGGTCCCGCTCGGTTAACAGGTTAATAGTTAACATTTCATGTACAGGCATAGTGCTCAGCAGCTGACATACATCAGTGTACTTAACACTTAACCCAGGGTTGGCAAACTGTGGCTCTCGAGCCACATGCAGCTCTTTGGCCACTTGAGATTGGTTCTTCCACAAAATATCACAGCCTGAAGAAGTGGCGTAAGAAGAAGTTTACGTTTAAATAAGTTGGCTCTCAAAAGAGATTTCAATAGTTGTACTGTTGATATTTGGCTCTGTTGATTAATGAGTTTGCCAACCACTACATTAAATTAATCCAACCAAATGGCTACGTACTTACATCTCCATTTGACAATGAGGAAACTGAGGCACAGAAAGGTTAAGCAGCTTCTCTACAGTAGTAAATAGAAGATGGGGAATCTGAAGCCACTCTGTTCCACTCCAAGGCCCCACTTCTGAGTGTCCAGCATCGGACAGAAAACTCTAGAACCTGTCTACTGGCTGTCTCTGGCCCAAGAAGTTTTCTCCATCAGAAAGCTTTTGGTCTCTAAGCTCCTGAAAACATTTTTTAAAGCCAGGTACTGTCTCAGAGGAAGTCCTGTCCTTCTAAGACACAACTCTCCCAGACAGGCAGACAGATGGACAGCTCAAAAGAGAATAAGTACAAATATCCATTCTTATCTGTAGAGATAAGAATGAACATACTTCCTGGGGAGTTCAGTGGAAGAGAATGGTTATTGTGTCTCATAATTTCCCTTTAATGTCCTTATACTTTTTCAGTTTCTCCAAAGATAAGAGGCTTATCTTAGCAATAAACCAATAAAACTATTCATAAAACTACATGATAAGAAGCTAAAAAATGTTACAAGTAAAAGGCTATGACTTCTCACGCTGCAATTAACATAATCTCATCAAATATTTTAATAAGATGTGCAGTACGACACAGGGACCCCAGGAGGAGTTGGCTTTGGAAGGCATTCAGGACCCTCCCCGCGCCAGAAGTCAGGGAGCTATCACAGAAAGCAGCCACTCCTTGGGTCTACACACACTCCAGAGGCCAAACTCACTTACACTGAACTCGCCAGGAAGTACATTCTTCCTTTAGTATGCTCTCTTGGAAAAATTAAGAATGATCTTACTTTCCACCACCTCATAGGATGACGGAAACATCTTTTTCAGGAAGCAAGTGGCTCTTTTTTCTTCGGTAAAAGTCAAGGCCTCAAGAGAGATAACACAACTGAACCAATATAGCTACACCACTCTCCTTACTTATAAATATTACAGAAAAAAAAATCCTCTTGAAAGCTGAGCAATATATTTTTGGGTTTTTTTTTTTGCTGAAAGCAACCTCTTTCTTCAAGCTCATGAGAAAATGCATGCCACTGAGCAGAAAGCCATGGGGCCAATCGTACCACAGAGCCAGGCTCCTGCTGGCCGCTCCCCACCGCCTCCCTCCACTGCGGCGGTGTCCCCAGTGATCAGCAGGACCAGCTCGGGGACACATCCAGGCTTACAAGTGCCAATTCAGCACCAGAGACATCTGCTCCGTTGCTGCCCCTGGGAAGCCATCACCACGGAGAGAGGCCAACACATGGCAGGAGGCTGAGATGCTAATTAGTACAAAAGCTAAGCGTAATGGCAGGTATCTTCCTAAGAGTTTACAAATTTCATCAATTTTTCAGAGATGTATCAATGGCACCATGCCCCATGTCTGTCCCAGGAACAAACCACAGAGTCACAATAAATCTGACTCTGCTCTCTCCAGGCCTAAGAAGCAATCCATTATATTCTGGGGTCTCCTGGACCACCTCCCTTATTCTCCACTGTCACAAACTAGTGTGGATCTCATAAACTCACAGGCCTAATCCAGCCTTCTTTCTTTCATCCATCAACTGTTATGATATCTACTGTGTTCCAGGCAATATTAGAAAGAAGGCAAATATGAATTTTGCGCTAAGCCCCTCCAGGCTCCTAGTGGGGAAGAGAAACAGCATGTTACAATCCTGTGTAACAAGGGTCATGAAACCAGGTATGTCTAACTCCATAGAAGAGAGGGTTAACTAACTACCCTGTTTCCCCGAAAATAAGGCAGTCTTATATTAATTTTTGCTCCCAAAGATGCTCTAGGTCTTATTTTCAGGGGATGTCTTATTTTTCCATGAAGAAGAATATGGTACACATTTATTGTTAAATGAAAATAAAGGAAATTTATTACCTATATACGGTATGGTAGTACGGTAGTTGTCAACACAAACCAGACAAACTATGAATCCTACAGTATCAAGAATTTACTCACTTATTCAATGACAAGCATGTCATCATCTTCTGGAACATCATCATAACAATCCAATTCCTGAATTTCCTGGTGAATTTCTTGTGACTCCATTTCTTTCAGAATCAGTGGACCAAATCTCTCATGTTGAGCAATAGCATTCTGAGACAGAGCCTAGGAGGGGGCTTATTTTCGGGGGGATGCCTTATATTTCACTCAGAAGAAAATCTGTAAGTAGGTCTTATTTTCGGAGGATGTCTTATTTTCGGGGAAACACGGTATGTCAGCTTGGTACAGACAGAGGCTTTCCTTAGACTGGGACGTCTGTGCTGACTCTTGATAAACATTTTGGGTAAAGAGTGAAAAGGGAGGAAACAATACTTGAAAAGGGATACAAACCTGAAAGCGTGTGCCCTGGCTCAGGAAGGGCAGTGAGGAAGAATGGCTGGGACACCAAACGCATGGAGGGGACGGACCTAAAGCAGGCTGTGGTCAGATGCAGAAAGGCCCTGCATGGCACGCCAAGGAAACTGGAACATTACTGCTGGTACTGAACAACCAGAGGTGTTTAAGAGAGAAAGTCCAAACTGAGGCTACATTCAGCCTGAAGAGTATTTTATTTCACCTTTATAAAGTATTTTTCAAATACTGAAATTAATCACTAACTTCTGAAATTTGATAAATATCACCTGGATACTTGGTTTCTTAAAAGACAAAACAAACAAAAACATTCTGGCAACACTGACCAAACTTCTGCAGGTGGTAACAACTGTTTGGATCTGAGCAGTAGGTGGGATACTATTAAGGAGGTCATGATTGACCCCCCCTCCCCCAGACCTTTGAGTTTGCATTCCTTGATTCCCTGGTTTAAAGGACAAAATAACACAAGAGACCTGTGTTAAGGAAAAAAAATAGCACTGCGAGCAATAGAGACTAGACCACAGGGTCCATAAACCTGGAGGCAAGTGGTCAAGTTAGGAAGACATCACAACAGCACAAGGTGGAAATAACGAAAACGTCTAAAGAGAGCAAACCCACAAAATGGTGATGAGCCAAGAAATGTTTAACACACCCCAGGCACAAGAAGAACACTTATCATGTAACGTTTGTGCGGCATTTGTTCAAGGGCCAAAGACTATCTTAGGAGAAAAGAAGAAGAGTTTCAAAAAAAAAAAAAATGATTTTCAATTAAAAAATAAAGTGTCTACTCAGTAAACCGTGTGGACAGCCCACCCAGATGCCATACATCCGCAGAGACAACTGCTGGGGTACAGCAGCAGCCCTCTGTGTGACTCCTGCCCTGGCCCCCACGCGCGGTTTTCAGAGACCAAGTTTCCATTCTGATTGCAAACTTGCTGAGCTAAGGTCTTGACAAGTGATGTTTACAAGCAGAGGGTGGACCATAAGCCAATCCAACCTCGCACATGGTGGCCGGCAGTGACTTGGAAAACTTACAGCCCTTCCAGCCCCTCCCAGGGCCGGCCGGCCCGGCACTCACACAGGCCGTGGACATCCAGCATGTTGGAGATGCCGCGGTCACTCATGTCCACTTCCGGCTGGTTCTTCTCCCGGCTCTCCTCCACCAACTTCTTCAGAGACTTGGACATGGTCTGCACCGAACGACAACAACACAGCACGTGGGTGAAGGCAGGAGGGTGCCGAACCAGAACGGAGAGAACTCTGCTGGGCACCCCCCCCCCCGCCCGGCCCTGGAAAGTGGGCGTCCAGCGGGCGAGGAACCGGCGCGAGCTCGAGGATGGGCGGGGCGGGGAAGTGGAAAGGGTCCAGCACCCCCTCCACCCGCGCGGAGACGGGCAAAGCCAAATGCACCGCCGCACACACTCACCTCAGACGGCAGCCCCTCACTAACGGGCTGTACGTGGAAACTTGCAGGCTCCCGCAGGGCGCTTTTTGCGGGCGAGGGATGCACTCCACCCGAGCTAAGGCAATCCCCAAACACAGAACACGCCCCGGCGGGCGGCGGGCGGCGGGCGCTGCTCTGCGCAGGCGCGCTCGGCGCCGCCCCGCCCAGGCCCGCGCTGGCCGCTTCCCAAATTAGGAGAACAGTTTACTCCTCTCCGCCGGCGGGCGAGGCTTCGCCTAAATAAGAACCCGTGTCCCCCTCCACCGGCCAATCACGTCCGTGTTTCGGCCTGAAGATCCCGCCCCGCCCCGCCCCGCCCCGCCCCGTGATTAGTCCTTCCACCTGGAATTTGGGTTTGCGATTCTGATTGGGCCGGAGTTGGCGCGTGCGCGTTCGTGCTGGCGCAGGCTCAGTGGGGTGGGAGCGCGGCGGACGAACGCGGCGAAGCTCAGGAGGCGCCTGTGAGTTTGGTCCTGGGGAAGCTGGACCTGAACCTGTTCTCCTCGGGTCCCGCTTCTGTGGTTGCGCGGCCACTCACCGGAAGTAACCACCTCGAGTCCCTGACCCATGAGTGAGCTCGTGGGGGACGGACTGCCCCGGCGCCCAACCGAGGACCTCTGTGTCGCAGGAAGAGGGAAATATCAAGATAAACAACCACTCCTTTTCTATTACTCCTCTCAGAAGTGTTTCATATTTTATTTTGCTTTGTATTGAATGGTGATTTCGTTATACAATTTTCATTTCTTTGACTAGTGTTTCTAACTGGTGTTCTTTTCCTTGTAACCTTCAAGATACCTCCACGATCTTTATGGCTTGAAATCCAATGAATTATTCTGGAAGGTTAGGAACCCACTCACTTGCTACTCTAACTTTGATTCTGCCTTTCCTGCAGAGGGGTTATCTGATTTCACTTGATTTCTGGGTTTCCACCGACATTTCTTTGTATCCCTCTTGCTGGGGTACCTTTTTTTTTAATAAATTATGACCCCTCAAGTGTCCCTTTTTATGCGTGTTTAATCTATTTCTTTCCCATTCTTGCTGGTGTAATTCTCTGTCTGATGGTTCTTGGTTATTGTTTCATATTCTAGCATGCAGGTCTGAGCAGGTTTTTCTAGATAGCTGGTGTGGTGGCTCTTCTGTTGTTGATGTGTGTTTGTTTCCCTCCTTGATCAGCATTAATTTTCCCTGGGCTGCTTGTCTTTAGAAGTTAGAACCCAGTGTTAGCCTCTATGTAATCCTAAGACTTGCCTTTGCTGATGGAGATAAATGAATTATGAGCACCAGCTATGGCTATTCTATTGCTTCTGGTTTCACCTTCTCAAACTGTACCTACCAACCCCACATTTACACAGCACCAGGAAAATCTATTCCCAATTCCGCTGCATTTCTCTCAAAATTATTTTGGGCTGCAATGTCTTTCTGTGTCATTTGTCAGCATGCTTCCATTCACATCATGTTTTCCAGAAATTCTTTTCACTCCCTTGTAACTCTCCTCTCATTTTCCTTCACTTTACCAGTGCAAAATATAATAATAAAAGGGTAATACACTAATTAGACCTGATGTTCTTCCAGATGTTCTTCCAGATGTCCTTTCTTTGGAACAAACCCACAGCGTGCCGGGGCTGAGGTAGAGGTGGCAGAGGTTGGGGGCTAGGGCCAAGGCCCTTGTATGAATTTCATGCATCAGCCCCCTAGTTCTTTATGAAATGTGTCCCTAAGTTCCAGATTTTTATAATATGGAAACAACCAGCTTCCTGGATATGCTACCTATGCAGTTACCCAAAGCTCCATGCCTACATGGGCCCCACACTTGGTTTAAGGCTCTGCTGTCACCATCTTGAAATATTTAATAATTTTTAATGTTAAATAATTTTTAAAAAATTTTCTTTTGCACTGAGCCTTGCAAATTATGTAGCCAGTTCTGCATGGATAAGTCAATACTCACCAGAATTTACATTGCTTCCACAGTATCACTTCAAGTTCTCTGCTTACATACAGGCTATGTACTTCCAATCAGGAGAAATATACTACTGCTCCCCCTTAACCCCGAACCCTTGGGCACTCTCTCTCTCCCACTCTCTAAAAAAAATCAGTAAAAACATGTCCTCAGATGAGCTGTAGGTCATTAACAGTGTCACCCTTTTTAATAATTTTAATAGGTCTATGGAAACATTTCAATTGTCACTTTTAATTAATTCACATGTAAACCTTCAGGTTTAATGGGAGGCTCTCTCTTTAGAATTAGAATTAGAATTACAGTTCTATTGCTCAAGTTTCATATAACTTTTTCATACCCTATTTTTCTCATCTGTCAAATGGGGGTAATGTTTCTTAGTATTCTATTTCAGCGAGTGATATATGAGAATGATGCCTGGCATAGAGTAAATAGTATATAGATATTAGTTCTCATCTTCCTTAATAAAATTAATGGTGATAGCGTTCCTTTGGTGAATGATTAGGAGCTGCGAATCAAGTCCTTCCATTAAGTGGAGTGGAAATATAATAGGAAATTGTGACAAGTAGAACCCATATCGTAGGCATCTCCAAGCCCCAAACTGTCATCAATTCCATCCATCCCCTGGTACCCAGCCAGCTCCCTGAAGGCCGGACAAGGACAGCTTGGACCAGTGATGGCTAGACTTATACTGAGTGGCCAGATTATTATGATCTCTGAACACATAATAATCTGGCCACTCAGTATATTTATTATAAGCCCAGTGCATGAATACATGCATGGGTGGGGTCTGGACAGCCTGGCCTTGGGGAGGGGACATGGGTGGTTGGCCAGCCTTCCTGCTGGTTGAACTCCTGGTCGAGGGGACAATTTGTATATTAGCCTTTTATTATATAGTATGTACACTGAGTGGCCAGATTATTATGTGTTCAGAGATCATAATAATCTGGTCACTCAGTGTATTACTTCTGGACTCACCTTCTCAAACTGCAGCTACCAACCCCTGTGGGAAACCAATGTCCCGCATGGTTCAGGGTTCAGGTTCAGGGTTTGGGTTCTGGAAAAGGCTGCACGCAAATGAAAGAGACTAGAAAAATCTCTTTATTTGGGAGGGAGCCAAGAGAGGACTACACACCATTCTGGATTTGCTATCCCTTTTATTGAGACTGGGATACACCCATAGCTCTTAGGCAGAAAACTCCAATAACAGAAATTTACATAAACAGATGAAGGCTGCTTTAGCTAACAATGTTTCAACTAAACAATGAGTGATTAGCTCCAACCTTTCAGAGCATTTAAGGTTGACCAGCCCTCTGGATTCCCTGTCCACATCTATTAGTGGGACAATGATTGTTTTCCAGCAAACCCCACATCCAGGTAGCACCTGGAAAATGTATTCCCAATTCCTCTGCATTTCTTTAGAAATTATAGTGGGCTACAATGTCTTTCTGTTTCATTTCCTTGACAACCAAAAGGCATTCTCTCTGTTCTTCATGCTTAGGGCCAGTTGTTTTAGGAGACCGGAAATCAGAGCCAAGAGAGATCAAATGGTAGACTGGCTTACCCACACCACACATACATGCCCATTTCTGTGCTCTCAGACTATGAGTATGTAGGGTTGGGTGTTACCAGGAAAATTGAATCAGAATGGCTCCAGGTAATGCTGTGACAGGTCCTAAAGCCTTCTTCTATATTGGCATTAGTCCTTTAGTTGCTGGATCATTGGGTTTGGCTATTGTCACCTGCCCTGTGCCTTCTCAAACTGGATGTCTAAAGTTCCTATTCTCACCTGGAGCAGAATGTGGTTAGAAGGTGACTGTAAGACTTTCTTAGTTTAGTATATGATCGGTTGCAAACAGTAGAGATTTCTTTTTTTAATTTGTGTTTGTTTTGTTTTCTTCAGATCCAGGCAGAATACCATTTTTCGTTAAAGTCTAACTAATGAGCTCATTTTGGGGGATTCTAATATAGCTTGAAACCAGCATTTTGGTGTATTCAGGATGCTAATCAAATGCGAACTGCTTGTTAGCTCTCTCGAGGGCTCTCATACCTAACAATGGAGTTTCATGGTGATGCGTCTCAGGAGCAAAAACGTTATCACTTAGCCACTGGATCTAGGAAGCTGATGTACTGTAAAATTTCATCAGTTAAAAAAAGTGAGGATTTGCCTCAGGACTGGCTCAGGAAACTAGGCAAGATGGAGCTGAGAAGTAGGCTTTTTGAAGTAGGGAGAGTTTATGGAGTTACATGGCAATTTTGTTCACCACTTTATCCTCACGGTGCCTGATACATGTCGCACTGTAAATGCTCAATAAACATTTATAAATGAGTGAGCTGAATGTAAAGCAGAAGTAGAAGAAATTAAATGGGTCTGACTAATGAAAGATGGCATAAGCTTATATATAAAAATCCTTAAAAGACTGTACTAAAAAACTGTTAAAATTAATAAATGAGCTCAGTAAAGTAGCAGGTTGCAAAGTCATTATATAAAAACTAAAGGCCCTGTGCATGAAATTCATGCATGGGAGTGGGGGAATGTCCCTCACCCCAGCCTGCACCCTCTCCAATCTGGGACCCCTCGAGGGATGTCCCTCTCACAATCCAGGACTACTGGCTCCCAATCGCTTGCATGCCTGCCTGCCTGATTGCTCCTAACCGCTTCTGCCTGCCAGCCTGATCACCCCCTAACCACTTCCCTGTCATCCTGATCAATGCTTAATTGCTCCCCTGCTGACCTAATTGCACCTAACTTCCCTCCCCTGTTGGCCTGGTCACCCCCAACTGCCCTC